GGTTCCTTTTCTTACACGCGCTGCGCGAGTGCCAAAGTCGCATTTTTCGGAGAGGGGGCCCACCTCAAACCTCGAAGGCATCTGTGTGTCTGGCTATTTGGCTGTAAAGCCTCCCCCCTTCCCCTGCGTGGCACCTGGGAGCCGGTGGCACGTCTCCACCGAATCCGGCCACGGGCTTTTGGGTGGAGTGTAGGAGTCCGATCTTCACGCGGTGGTTTCCTAGGAAGATCTGGTAGTTCGAGCGCATGAACTCGTCTACCCAGGTGTTGAGTTTTGCTGGGGGTGTGATTCGGTGCCAGTGAGCACCCATGCCTGCGGGGTTCCCGCGCTGGCAACCTAACCCGTGATGACACCTTGCTTCTGCGCCAAGAGTTTGGTTCGTGTGTTGAAAGCTCAGGCGCAATACTCCCAGCACACCTTGACTCCCCATTTTCTTTTCTGATCCCCGCCACTCGGACTTCGGGAGGTAGGGAGAGTACTGCTTGATGGGATTGTGAAGAGCTCCTTCAATCCTTCACACCTTGGGGGGCTCGCCACGGTGCAGTGGTGCACCGTCTTCCAGTTGGAGCAGCGGGCAAACCGCCGTGGCCCATTGGATTCTTCCCATCGCCTTCTCAATGGCTTGGCCTTGGATGTGGGAAATCCTTCCATCGCCGCTTTGTTGCCGTGACCTGGGCTCTTGGCGTTGATCTCTGCCCGCTACCAAGATGGCTGTTGCCCAGCTTCTGGCCCCGTCCCCAGTCCACCATGCAAAACAAGAGGCACAGCGTTCTCAGCTGTTGGGCTTCGCCTTCAAGACAGATCCCAGCACGGATCCAGTTTTGCAGCTGCAGGCTGTGGGCCCAAGACCTCCATAAATGTGTGGAGGGTGTCCTTGAAGAAACCCTCAGTCGATGTGTAATTCAATTGTGAAGAGCGCAGACCCTCCTTCACTCTCCTTTCTTCAGATGAGCGGGTGCTCGCGGTCCAGCAAGGAGGTCGTGTCCGGTTGCAGTATTTCCCGAATGTGCTGAAGGTGGTGACACACAGCTAAACATGAGTTGGATCGCCTTACAGCGAACCCAGCCTTGGCTGACACACTCACGCAACTCATTGTTCGTGGGATTGTGTCCATTCAAAGCGTAGGCTGCATGCCCTGACACCTCCGCGTCAAGGCCATGGACGGCTTCCAACTGCCTTTGCTCTGCTCGCCCTCGCGGGCGGCGTACGCAACGCGCTCATTGCGCTCACTGTCACGTTCTTCTTGCGGCAGCTTGCTCGATGCCCTCCGCACCAACACGTGGTTGCGGGCCTCAGCTTGCCCTGCTCGCTTCTTGGTCTCAGCACTTGGTGCAGCAGCAGCCAGGTTGCCTTCAGCGGTGGGGGTACTTGTCACGATGTGTGCGCTTGCCTTCCAGAAAACCGGTGCATGGTTGGTTGGCTTTAATGATTGGCAGGCTTTCCGCGCTTGGGAGTTGCTGCACCCTTTGCTCTTTGATGTTGGCGACCGCGCTGCTCCTTGCAGTGCACGTGTGGGCTTCGGAAACTCAAAGCACACTCGATCACCAGACTTGCGAGGCTTTGTCGATGGGCTCGGGGCATTCCTCTTAGGATGAGGCTTCAGGCTTGGGATTCGGCTTATTGCGATGAGCCTTGGACACACGATCACGGTTCGGTCGATAAGTCTCTCGCCTTGGAGCATCCTCGTAGATCGCGGCTACGATGGTACCGCTTGATGATGTAGCGGATCTAGCGGAGAAGGATGTCCTTGAGAACGTTCTCCTCAGGCACAGTCGAGGATCTTGGTATCCAAAGTCGTGGAGTACCGAGTTCATTCAAAAGTTGGATCCATGCTTCGCCTGGTTTATCGGAGGCTGCCCTGCTGTCTTCGCGAACCGAAGTCTTCCATTCACGGTAAGTTTGCGGTGCGGGCACCTCCTTAAACCTGAGCGCTTCGCTCTCCACATTTGGTCTGGAGCTGTCTTGGCTGCTTCGACCGCCTTAGCTTCGGTAGCTTTGGCCAGATCCTCGTGGCTCATGTTGTCGGCCGCGCCGGCTTCGCTTCCAGGAGGCCCTGGAAGAACACACCTTGCAAAGATCCGGCATCGGGCCCTTGCGACCTTGAACTCGTCGTCACGTTTGATGTCGGACGCTCTGCGGAGGTCGTCCATCTGGGAGTTGGGGCCTGCATTCCGATTCCACCTGCGCTGCTGCCTCCTCTTCCTCCGTCACCAGGGTGGCCTCAACCGGCTCAAAGAAGTCAATGCTGGCTTCGGAGCGAGACATGTTCGAAGCGAAGAGAGGGATAGGGTAACCAGAAAGCTTTTCTCATGAAAGTGGCAACTACTTGAGCCCAAAATGGCAAGCCATTTTGGCACATATTGCGATTTATATTAAATGGCACCGCTGCGCTCATTCCATCAGAAACAACCCCTTGTAATTGGGGTTCCCAACCCTTGAGTGATCACCCAAGACCAAAGCATCATAGCCACATGGGTTTGGGTCAAACTGGGGGGGAAACGGGTGGTTTCCTTCGGTTGCCAACCCGAACGGGGTACACCAGTGTGAAAATAGGCCCAATGTGGGTAAGCGTAAAGGGTAACTGAACATCTTTTTCACCCAACTGTATCTGTTGTGGTAGAGGGAAAATACACATGCGTCCAAAAAGTTCAAAAGATCCAAGCCATTAGCACCCAACACTTGGTTGCTTTTGACCCCTCCGCAAAAAGTTCATCACTTTTTGTGGGTAATGGACAACCCCTTGATTTCAACCAAAAAGTTAAAGTCTAAAGATCCAAGCCAACAGCACTCAAGAACAGTACTCAGAACAAACAATCTCTCTCCGTCCCATCCGCTTTTTTTTTTCCAAACCCATGATGCTATGATGCTTTGCTGCTTTGGTCTTGTGATCACTCAAGGGTTGGCAACCAAAGGAAACCACCCGCTTCCCCACCCCCCCCCCGCCCGGTCCAGTCTGATCGGATGCCCAGGGGCGGGGGCACCCCGGTGACCAGCGAGGCCCCGTAGCCGTGCCAGGGGCAGCGCCGCCGCCGCAGCTCGGAGACTGAGGTGGTGCTGGTGGGCACGCGAGCGTCCTCGGTGGGCATAGGTGGCCTTCGGAGAAATAGATGGGTTTCCCTGGTAAATTGGTTGATACACCCCGTCTAAACCAGTGGAACCCATCTATTTTTAACCAAACTATCCTAAAGGACACCTATGTCGGTGGGGGCTGGGGCTGGGTGCCCCTTAGCTGGATGTTTCGCAGGACCCAGAAATGAAAGATGTTCAGCCTGGGTCATGACAAAAAGTGGATCAAAAAGGTGGGTGCCGGCGCTTTGGGCGAGTTGGGTGAAAGTGCAAGGCGCAATTCGGACACCTTCGACAACTCACATCCTCTGTTCTAGTCATCCCCTTCAGTGCCCCAAATGCAGAACCAAAGAAAAGGAGGATTCAAACCAAGAGGACATCAGGAGGTTGGAGGAGATACCCCGGTTTTGAAGGCCTCCGATGGCCAAGTTCGCGTCTGCTGGAGGGCTGTGCCTGCCTGAAAAACGAAACTTTCATGGAACAAATCCCTCAAGTTCATATCCGCAAACCACTTTTGAGGTGATCTCCCAGTAAAATCCGTGCCCAGATAGGAAGGGCATGTCTTTCTTTCGCAGCGTCTTTGCAACTCTTTCACAGTTCCATCGCCTGTCGCCATTTTTCATAATGGCCTTGGAGGCAGAGGGCATCATTATACGATTAAAAAGTTTTAAAAGGGGGCTGCAAATCCAAATATTCGTACAACCTGGTCTTTCTGTCTTTCATCTCTTATCTCAGTCTATCCTCATACCTCACTCCCTTTGACTGCCAAAGCATAGAAGAGTGGACGTGAGGGAGTGATGAGACATGAACAGATGTCCCTTCCAACCCTGTACATAATTGATGCACCTTTGGAATCTCTGTTCCTTCCCATGCCATCTCTATTCCTTCCCTGAATTAGTCATAAAAATAGCAAGATAAAGAGAAGAATGGCGGGACATAAAATAGTGCACCTCACCTCCGTAGGTGCATTACACCTACAAAATGTGAGGTAACCACGCTGCTTTTGGAGGCCTTACAGGATTGATCAAGAACAGGCACAAGAGGAATTGCCTTTTGTCTTCAGATTCCTCAAAATTGCTTAGTTTAGTAAATTTGACTTGTTTTGGACTAAACCACACTTGTGGGAATCCCAAAAAGACCCACCACTCAAAGCATCGACTAAAGCAAAGTTGGGCATTACTATCTCATGACAATGACCTATGGCTGTCCCCACAACGCAATTCTAATTGGCCAGGTTATTTTGTATTCGGCTTGTTTTGTTGGTTGGTTTTCAAGCAAAACCCAAGAATGACACAGGAACTGCCGTTGAAGATGTTTAAACAACTCTTGGTTTAACAGGGCGGGTCTGGTTGCCGAAACACATACGTATGGCCGTGTGTCAAAAGCCAAATCGTACCCCCAGTGAACATCCCAATCCCAACTTGAATAGACTAAAATGGGTGATGCACCCACCCCAAAATGGTCCATTGGTTTTGCCCCAGAGCCATATGAGTCACACTCATCATTTCTGGTATTGAAATGGTCAAGCCTCAAATCCATGGTTCGAATTCCGCACCGATTCTTCTGGCAACGGGACTCTCCCTTAAGCTGCACCAAAGGAATCGGTTTTGAGGATGCGGCTCGTATTGGCATATTGCCCAATCCTGCTCCTTTGGGGAGCCACAGACCGAAACAGCCGTTTCGAAAAAGCGATGGTTGCCCTTGTATCTGAGTATCTTGTCTTGGCCCACGTTTGTGCACCGAAACTCAGAATTTCTGACTCTCCCTCCCATTTTTTGTTCAGAAAGGGATGTTGTGAGCATTGGGGCTTTGCACCCATGCTTTGTGTTGATTTATCGTGGTAGTTGTGGCTTTCGTCTACAAACTCATTTCGGAGACCCCGGCTGTGGCCAAACCTCTCCAAGGCGCTTTGGCTCGCCTTGGCGGGGTGCGGCTCACCTTCGGCGTCGCCGATTTGGCCGACTTCGCCAGCAGCTGTGCTGCACGGAATGGTTGGGGCTCCGGCCTCGATTTCGCGCAGAACCCGCCGAGGAGTTGCGAGGTTCGCGGAGAAAAGTCGCGTCGCTTTGGCCTTGTTTCGCTGGTTGCTACATTGCTTCTCCTAAAATTGGGCCTTTCCTGCACTCAGGATCTCTATATATATATATATATATCCAATACTTTGACCTCATGTTGCTGGTGCGATGGAGAATGACGGAATGATCTGCCGGGTGTTGGATGAATGACCCGGTTTGGACAATTCCCGAATAAAGGAAACCGTAATTGGGATGGATGGTTTATAGGGGTCATTCCAACTCATTCCCTGCTGAGAACCAGCAAGTAAATCGCGTCTTGCTAAATTGCTTCTCCGCGAATTGGGCCTTCCTTATAAATCTATACGTACAGGGCCAGTGTGGAAAGACCCGGTTTCCAAGCGAAGAATATCTCCCTTGGCGGTCGGTCAACATGGCACCCTTCAAGCAAACATTGGTATTTGGGGTAGAGGGTTTCGGCAACATGTGCGGGGTCGAATTGAAGGGACACCACAAGGGCGCACGCGACTTTGGGTAAGGTTCTCTGTTCTTGCGCCAAAACCGGAAGGACGGGTTGTTGATACAATGCTCGACCAAGCTTAGACCCTGGAAAAAGTCAAAAAGGCAAATTGTCGTAGGTAGGCGAAGTCTGGCAATCGGCACAGTGTTTGAACCGCCCAACACTCAGGTTTCCCAAGGGGTGGGATGTTTGTTTCCCCAATAGCTGAAAGAAATGGGTCTTTGCCTAAATAAGCTTTGGGGGTGTGGGGCAGAGGTCAAAGTTAGCTTCTTTTCATAGGGTCGGCCAGCGTGACGAAGGGAACTCCCCCAAAGCAATGTCTTCCTTTGCCCAAGGTCCTTTTCGGCTTCTTCCCCACTGTGTCCGAAGCTTTGGTTGTCCATTCACGTTCCCTTAGATCAACGCCAAGAATGCTCTGACAAACAAAACACAGGGTTGCATCCCGGGATTTGGAGAGATGGAATTCTGGAAAACTGGCAAACAAGCAAGGACCGAGGAAAAGTCGTCATGATCCAAGGCGTGGTTTGCCATCCTTAGCTCATCTCCTGAAAGGATTTGAAACAAAGCCGCCCAAACTTGTTGTTTGCCAGTGAGGGCGCCCTAAGATGGGGGAGGGGGTTCTGTTGGTTTCCGGTTAAAATCAGCCAAAACATGTGTGCCCTCAAACAAAAGACGAACCACCCAAGTCCAGAAACGCGGCACGAGAGTTGAGTTATGAATCCAAAGGCAGTATTCATCAGCCAGTCTGCTCAGAAATAAGGCCAACACCTCCCCGGAACTTCCCAACCCGCCCCAATTAGGATTGGCGTGTTGACCCCATGGCTGTGTCTGGGGCAAACCAACTCCAACCCCACATACACAGAAGAACCCCCCCAAAAAATAGCGTGAGAATTTGGGTGTGGCTCAAAAATAGGTGCCCGGAACCCTGGTAGATGGAGAAAAGTAGACCTGCAAACCTGCAGTAGTCTGAAAATATAAAACTTTGCGAGCCAGGCTCATTTGAGTCATAATCAACTCCCGGTATTAAAACGGTCTACCCAAAACCATGCGAAGAATCCAAAAGTCGACGAAGGCATTGATGGCAAGGGGATTTTCCCTTCACCTTCAATTCATCTAATGAACACCCCTATTAATAAACCTCTGTTTATTAATATGGGGGTGTCCCTGGTTTTAGTGGGGGATTCCGACCACTTTTGGAGGGGCCCCCACCCTGCATCTTCATCAACTGGGGTTGATTCATAGGGGCTCAATTCATCCCCCCGGGTGTCGTTCCGTTTGAAGGACGTGGACCCAGCGCGCACCGAAAGCCAGGCCGCTTCGCTCGAAGGCTTCTGGGCCGGGTCCGACACACCAACTCACCTTCCAGGTCGATGACGTAGGACGGCGTCGCCCTGGCCTCGGCCTCCGCGCGTTCAGGGGGAACGTGTAGGGATTTCCTCCACGCCCAAAACAGCCCTGGCTTAACTTGGTTGACGTTGGACGGGGAGCAAACATTTATAGAATGTAGCAGATAAGTGGGGATTTCACTTAACCACAATAAACAAAAATACGTGTATATATACCAGGTCCTCCAGTAGAGAGGTGAGAATAAGTTGGTTCACCTTTTTTCTGTAGTGTATTCTAGTAGGGGGAACCCTCCCCCAAAAAAAGAAACGGCAAAAGGGCACTGCTGGGGGACCTAGTTTGCTTCGTCCGGGTTTTCCTCCATGCCCAAAACCACCCCGTACCTTAAGAGGGAAGGTCGCTCGAGCCTGAAAGGTGACGTTTCCAGTACAGGGATCTGACGGAAAGGGGCTGGGGGCCTTTTACCCAGGGAATTTGGGGGGGAGGGGGCACGTCAAGCCCAAGGGCAACCCTTTTGTGATAAACTTTTGTTTGATTCTAGGGGGGAAGTTCCACTGAAAGAATCGGTGACTGGTCTTCACCTACCCAGCCTCAGTTTCATTCTTCTTGTCCCCGCCAAAGTGAAGATGGAACTGTAATTGAGGGGTGTCTTTTTTGCAGGTTACCCCTTTTTTGCGTGGGTGTTTAAGGCACCCAGGCACTCCCCTCCCAATTCAATTTCTAGGGGAGTCGGGGGATGTTTCTACCTAGGTACCCAAACAAATACATTTGATCATCGCGCGGGACAACTTGAAACCCGAAAACTCTTCAGCATGGACGGGCTAGGGGCTGGGGAGTGCCCCAAGGCTCCTCCATCGCCATCGCATCCGAAGGCTTCGGGTCCAGCTGACGTCGCGCGGGCGCGACCTCGTGCTCCTTGAGCGATCTGGTTGACACGTCTTTCGTTCGCCGCAGTCCATTCCCCGTAAAGCCCCGTAAAACCCCCTGGAACTTGGTGGCTCCATTGCCAAACTCCAACCCCCAGGGAAAACTATATATATATATATGTATACACAGATATGTATATCCAGGAGGGCTGCGCATTCTCTTGAACCGCTGGGTGCAGGGGCTGGTGCAGACCACCTTCACCGGAAGGACTTGCTGGCTCTCAAAAGTGAACTTGAGCTACGGAGATCAACCGGAAGGGAATCCTCAAGGAAACCTCCAGTTGGGCGGCTTGTTGAGGGTACCCCCTTTCGTCTTTTTAAAGGGAAACTAAAGGACACCCTCCATTTTGGGGTCCCTAAAAACTGACACACCCACCAGTTGGAGGGGGGGGTTCCCCTTTTGGACTGCCAATCAAATCGCACCAGAAAGTGTTTTGGGGGACTGATGTGCTGGCCTCTGGAAACAATACCAATGTTTGCTGTGTTGGAGGTTCGGACCAATGGACAACTTTGGCACAGCCGCCAACTTAGTAAGCCGGTATAATCTGTTAACAAAATGAATTCCACTAAGGGGATGTACAAGTGGGCTAAGTCACTAACAACTGATGTATTTGGCCGAACGACGAGTCCTCCAAAGAGAATCCTACATGTAAACTGGAGAACCTAACATGTTTTCCAGAGAGGTCACCAGAAGGACCACCCTGCCCCATGCCCCCTTTCCCCTTTGCATATCCCTGACACTACTGTTGACCCAGGTTCGAACCTGGCGCATTCATGGGGGTGCAGCTGTGAAAGAACTTTCGAACAAACGGGTTGAACCTCCCTGGTCGTTTTCATGACCAGGATACACAAGTTGTTGGTCCTTTTGCTTATTAACATGTATTGTTGACAAAAAATCAGGCCTGCAGTTGCAGACATCATCCATACTGGTCCAAACTCCTTCATTAGCCAGGGCTTTGCAAATCCGCAAGAACTTTAGCGTGGCGGATTGCTCTCAATAAAAATAGTCCAGCTCCAAAAATTGTTCAATGAGACCCAGAAAAAGTGTTCACGCATTGAGACTGTCACTTGAGGTACCAAAAAGGGAAATGGAACTAGGTGCTGGCTTTTACGAAACCGTCGAAGCCAAGCCTCCGTCTGCACGCTGGAAGTTTCCAAAGCTTCTGCGGAAATGCGCACCCTCTCTGTCTGGACGGCAGTCTCAAACGACGCATTCCTTGGTCAAAATTCAACCTGAGACTTTGATATCAGTCTGGTTTAAAGGGAAACCAAGATGAAACCATGCAGCTTGGGGATTCCCCATGTTTGAGATAAACCCATATGTTCAACGTTCAGTGTCTGTTTCTAGAATCTCGACCCCCAAAATGGCTTCGATTTTCCTTTGGGCTTGCCATCAAAACCCCACAAAAACGGGTACCTTCAAACACACACACACACACATCTTGTTTCCAATTTCCAGTGACGGACGTTGTGTGAAGTAGATGTTGGTAGCTTTCCAACTCCCTCCGGTCCCCGTCCCTGTTTGCTTGGAGAAAAGGGCAAATGTGTGTCCCTCTTCTCTCGTATTGTTGGTGAGGGGCAAGAATATAAGATGAATATGTTCGACCATCAGTTTGGTGAAGCGCAAAGACCCAAGATGAATCTGTTCTAACATCAACTTCTTGGCCGAAATCTGGGGTACACAAAAACTAAAAGATTCTGATTATGGTCCATGTTTAGACATGGACAACTTAATTTGATTTGGGAGAAGACCACGTGTGGTGAAGAGCAAACATATAAACTAGGCTGGAATTAGGACCCCAGCAACAAATCATCTGTTTTGCCAGGAGACCCAAAAAAGCCAAAAAAGAAAAAACAGACAGGGGAGCTAATTCTGGGGAAGTAAAATGTTACCAAACCTTAGCGCCAGCTTCGCTGCCTGAACACTGGTGGTATCAGCCAGCTTCAGCATCGTCTGCAGCTCCTTGGCTGCGTTGTTTGCAGAACAGAAAACACATGCACAAACAAAGGAACAAATATCTAAAGCAAAAGACGGAAAGGATGCTTTGGCTGTGTTCTTTGAGGAGACCGCAATCAGAAGTGGGACACTTAGAACTATCCAGCTTGACATGGTCACAGATGACTTGGGGAGCCAGAATTCCATTTCTGTACTAGGTAGACTTAAAACCAGAACTTGTTGATCTCAAAAAAATAAAGTTTACCCGGGGAGCCAGGATTCCCATTCGTGTACTACCTTAAGGATTGGCTGATCTCCCAGCAAAAAAAAACGGATTCAAGTCTACCTTCGGGAAGTCAGAACATGGAACCCGGGGAGGCAGGAAACAACGGAAACGCCAGTGCCACTGGACTGAGGCTCTGTATCCACGGGAGTCAGGATGTAGACCTTGTCAGTCTGGATCGATTCAGATGCAAAGGCAGATACCTTCGCAACGTTGGGCCAACTGGTTTCAACTTTACACCATCTATTTTTGCAACCCCCGGACCCCTCCTCTCCAAACAAAACGCACCCAAACAACCCCCTAATCTAACCCCTCCCCCAAACGCCTCCCCCGGCCCTTTGAAACCAACTGAAGCCCCCGCTCCAATCCAGTCCCCCCAAACCGCCCTCGGTCAAAATGAAACCACCAGGAATTGGACCGCAGGTTTCAGCGCCTTCCTTGCTATTTACCGATCGGGATTACCCCATGGGGTTACCCCATTTTTGACAACACCCATCTGATACCCCGCCTCTGCAAACTCCACGTTCCCCACTTTCGCCAGCGCCGGAGAACACGGCGCCGGCCGTGCACAGGCGTCGCCCGGGCGACGCACTGGCAAGGCCTCCTCCGATGGACAGGCGGTCGACTCATTGAACCTCAGCCGGTGCCTTTGAGGAATCCGTTGTTGGATGGCTCCCAAGGGAAAGCCACAATCTGATTGCTTTTGTTCTGTGTGTGTGTGTGTGTGCGTCCTTGCTTGGTGTTTGTTATTTTTAATGACCTTCTGTTTCTTTGTTGCATGATGAGTCGTACTTGTGTTAACAAAAATACACATGGAGATGGCTAAAAAAGGGAAACCAAAAAGAGAAGGGGCCCCAAAACGAAACCAAGCCCCGAGGAATGGGTCCAACTCAATGGTTTGAAGATTCACTCAAGCCATGTCTAAACCAAGGGGTGCCTTTTTTTGCTTGGCCAGTACACAAGCAAGATTCTGGTCTAGGCAACCCCAACATGAAGGAGATCCCAGGTGGTTATTTGATGCGTTAAAAGTTGAACTTTTAGTGGGTTGTGTCATGAAATCCCTCTAAACTGTAAACATCGAAAAGGTTGAGAGTACCGCCGAGCAGCCTGTCTGTTTGCACACTGGCCGTCTCCGAAAAGACCAAGGACGCACGTGCCTCAACCTGGTCGGTCTGGACGCTGGCCGTCTCTGATGCGACCGCAGCAGGAGGCAGCTGAACATGAGCCTGGTCAGTCTGAACGCTGGCCGTCTCTGATGCCACTGCAACAGAAGGTAGCAGAGCAGCAACCCGGTCGGTCTGGACGCTGGCCGTCGTTAATGCCACTGCAACTGGAGGCAGCAGAGCATGAACCTGGTCGGTCTGAACGCTGGCCGTCTCTGATGCCACTGCAACAGAAGGTAGCGGAGCATCAACCCGGTCGGTCTGGACGCTGGCCGTCTCTGATGCCACTGCAACAGGAGGCAGCAGAGCATGAACCTGGTCGGTCTGAACGCTGGCCGTCTCTGATGCCACTGCAACAGAAGGTAGCGGAGCATCAACCCGGTCGGTCTGGACGCTGGCCGTCTCTGATGCCACTGCAACAGGAGGCAGCAGAGCATGAACCTGGTCGGTCTGAACGCTGGCCGTCTCTGATGCCACTGCAACAGAAGGTAGCGGAGCATCAACCCGGTCGGTCTGGACGCTGGCCGTCTCTGATGCCATTGCAATAGAAGGTAGCGGAGCATCAACCCGGTCGGTCTGAACGCTGGCCGTCTCCAATGCCACTGCAACAGAAGGCATGCGAGCATCAACCCGGTCGGTCTGGATGCTGGCCGTCTCTGATGCCACTGCAATAGAAGGTAGCGGAGCATCAACGCGGTCGGTCTGGACGCTGGCCGTCTCTAATGCCACTGCAACAGAAGGTAGCCGAGCATCAACCCGGTCGGTCTGGACGCTGGCCGTCGCCAATGCGACCGCAACAGGAGGCAGCCGAGCATCAACCCGGTCAGTCTGGACACTGGCCGTTTCTGATGCGACTGCAACAGGAGGCAGCCGAGCATCAACCTGGTGAGTCTGGACGCTGGCCGTCTCCAATGCGAACGCAACAGGAGGCAGCCGAGCATCAACCTGGTCAGTCTGGACGCTGGCCGTCTCCAATGCCACTGCAACAGAAGGTAGCCGGGCGTAAACCCGGTCAGTTTGGACACCGGCCATCTCTGATGCGACTGCAACAGGAGGCAGCCGAGCATCAACCTGGTCAGTCTGGACGCTGGCCGTCTCTGATGGGACTGCAGTCAACACGTTGATCTTCTCCGTTTGCATGCTTACCGTCCCAGTGGCAACCTTGTCAGTCTGGACGCTGGCCGTCTCTGATGGGACTACAACCCGAGCATCAACCCTGTCAGCTTTGACACTGGCCGTCTCCGCTGCGACGGTAACAGGAGGCAGCCGAGCATCAACACGGTCAGTCTGGACGCTGGCCGTCTCTGATGGGACTGCAGTCAACTCCATCGTCTCTGTTTGCATGCTCGCCGTCCCAGTAGCAACCTTGTCAGTCTGGACGCTGGCCGTCTCTAATGCCACTGCAACAGGAGGCAGCCGAGCATCAACCCGGTCAGCTTTGACACTGGCCGTCTCTGATGCGACGGGAACAGAAGGCAAACGAGCATCAACATGGTCAGTCTGGACGCTGGCTGTCTCTGATGGGACTGCAGTCAACTCCTTGATCTTCTCTGTTTGCATGCTCGCCGTCCCAGTAGCAACCTTGTCAGTCTGGACGCTGGCCACTTGTGAGAATGTTTCCATCCAAAACCTGACCGCTTCTGTCTGAGTCTCAGCCGTCTCTCTCGTTGTAGGAGTTTTTACGGAGCAAACCGCTGCTGGGATCTTGTCAGTCTGGACACCGCTCGTCGACCGCTTCCTCCTTTTCCATGGTTGCCATTGAAGGAATAGCTGGGAGTGTCTTTTTTGAGCTGCTACCCCAAAATCGAGATCAAAATGTTCATATAGGTTTTCACACAGGCATTGTTATATCACGAAGGTGACACCCCCCCCTTTCCAGGTTTTCCGCAACCGCAACCCCCTCCCCACTCTGCTCCTCTCACAGCTTCGCAATGCCGCGCACCAAGCTGCCAGCGCGCAGGCAGCGGCGCACTTGGCGTAGAAGGCGCCGTGGGCGCCGTGCTTGCAGCCGTTCGTGGCGACGATGCGAGGCGGCGTCACGCTCACCCGTTGTCCAAGCAAAGGACTCCTGATGAAACACGATAAATGCAAGGGAGCCGAATAATAACACACAGTATGCTCCTGCGGTCATGACTTAATTGGCTGTGTGAACAAGAAAGCACGCACGTACACTCATTCTACTTCTTCCTGAAGAAGAAACACTTGTTTGCTCATTCCAAAAAGCAAACATAGAACCTCAAAGAGGGCCCTGAGCAAAATGGGCTGCCTTTGTTTTGAAGGGGGGTCCATGTTGATCTGCAAGACCCGGGTTTTGTCGAAGGGATATGCCACTGACGAACATCGCGAGCACTTGAAAGGAGCGTGCTGCCACCGGCGCGGTATCTTGAGGTCTTGGGATCTGGTAACTTGGGCGTGTAGGGTCAGAAAGCAAAGTCAGATTCTGTTTCATACTGTGCATGGACAAACGTGCACCACTTCGTGGTTTATCTGCAAATCATAGGGGGTTCTCGTGTTTCATCCATCCCAACTAGTTAGGATTCTCTCTATCCACAGTATTTTAGACCCTGCAAACTTGTCCTGTCGGAGACCCCCGGCCTCAAACAAACCCTTACGGGGCTAAGCCGCAACCTGCCCAGCCTCGCGACCTCGTTTTGTTCAGCTGATGCTGCATGTGGGTAGAAAGGGACAGCCTCCAATTTGCCGTGGTTGGCGGCTGGGTATTTGCTTTAGGAATCAACCGCACCTTCAGGTTTTGCTTTGTGTGACCGCGTGCTGTTGCACGCTGAATATTAGCAAGCACTAGTTGTCTAAAACCCCTTCAACGGAATAGTGACCAGCCCTGCCCCCAGCCATGGCACATATACGTAATGACATGATTGCAAGTTGCTGTTTCAGTCATCTCTTTCTCGCAAACCGTAGTTCAGAAGCAGCAACCGGACAATGATAAAGCTCTTGACCTAAAATGACATCAATCAGGTACCCCAACTTGGGATCCCCGAATTTGCTGGCAATCTGAAGCTCTCTTTGCTCGTCGAGCTTTAGGATTGTAAGGAGCGGCTTCCCTTTCTCCAATATTCCAGCGTGCTCTGAAAAGCGCTTGGGGTTGGAAAAACCGCACCGAGAATGGCACCTTCAGATTCTGCATGGGCCGTATGTTCATCCACCGCTCAAGTACTGGTACGTGGTGAATCCCGCTATTTTTAGGGTTTCATCCATCCTACGACTGGTGCAGGATTTTGGCCATGAGTGTCCGACCCTGTTCCGGCTTGAACAACCTCCTAGTCTCCTCGACTCAATTGAACCCCTTGCCTTTACCTTAGGACCTTTGGGAACCAGGGCCTGGTTCTTTAAACAGTTTTGGCAACCAACCCCAGAACCCTCCTCCCCCAACCACACCAACCCACCAACACCCACGCAACACCAACACCAACACCTTCCCTTTTTGTTTGGTCCTATTTTGGTTTGGGCTGCTACCCCCCCCACCCCTCCCTCCCGCAACCCCCCCCCACCTCCTCATAGCCAACATCCACCCCCCAAAACCAACATTCACCCCCCCACCACCTCCTCACAACCCCCCCCCTTCAAATAAAACAACATTCATGCACCCCCCCACCCACCCCCCGCTCCTCGCCACCTCTTCCGCCTCCCGCTTCGCCGCCTCCGCCTCCCAGCGGTACCGCGCCAGGCGGCCCTCCCGCTGCGCCTCCAGCAGCCCCCGCCAGGCGCGGAAGGCCCAGCTGCGAGCCCCGCGGTCCTAGGCGCGACGTGGGCGTGGGCGGCGCCCGGCGAGGCGAGCAGCCCAGCAAAAGGTGAGAGTGGGGTACTCTTGGCCCTCCTTTTGTATTCTTGTTAGAAACCCTTTTTGGTTTCCTCTTGGTTGGTTGGTTTTCGTTTCCCGTTTGAGTCAATAGAAAAACTCGGTGGGTTCCTTTTGCGACAAGAACATGGTCAAACCAAAAATGGTGCGGTGGGCCTCTTCGCATCTGCTTCCCAACGGCTTTCATCACAGAGGGCGAGAGTCGTAAAACAAATGGTGGGTTCCTGTTGGTTTCAGTTGAACACCCAGCGAGAAAAAAAAAGAAAGGCATATACTATTTCTTGTAGAAAAAAAGCACCTTGAAACAGCCGCAAGGGACGGACAGGGGCCCCGAATTCAGAAAGGAAACGAGGCGGCTGAGGTGAGATGTTTGGGCAAAAGGAGCCTTTGAATTGGCGGAAAAAACTGGTGATGCTAAAGACTAGTATGGTTTTGTTTAAGACCAGTATGATTCCAAAAATGCGGCATCCCGCTTCCCCTTTTGTGTGGGCGTCCTTTTGCTTTCCCATTTACAGCCACAAAATGACAGGCTACCAACTCTAAAAAAGCAGAGCCCAACTCCAGCGACCCTATCCAAAGGTCACAGGCTTGTCGACGGCTGAGCTTGGGATACGCTGGAACCTCCCTGAAGGTCTCTTCAAGTGGACAGCTGTCTTCCACCGGTGAGAGGAGTCAGATGGTTCACCAGATCACTACTTTCATCAAAAAGGGGCTTCCGAAAAGACAGCGAAGATGGAAGAAAAATGGGTCGCTAGAAGCAAATTAACTCCCCACGGGAGGGCCTGAAAAAGGGGCCCACTTTTTTGTTTGGGAGGTAAGTGACCCGTTCAGCAGAAAAGGGAACCCGACCAACCATCTTTGGGGGGTCTACATCCGAATAAAGACACACCCATTTCCCCAAATCAAAGGTTGATTGCAATGTCCTGGTGTCCATTGAAACTGCCACTGTAGGCCTTAAGAATCTAAAACAAAGGAACCGCTGTGCCTATAAGGTGCTTCCATCAAACTCGACAGGCTTCCACCAAGGGGAGCCCATATCCATAAGGATCGCAACAGCAAGCTTGCGGATGTTTCTGGACCCTTACACCTCTCATCAGTTTGACCCACTTGCAGTATTGGTAGTATGCTATTGGCTTGGGGGGGCAAGCAAACATAATTTCCCTAGAAACTGGACCTGCAAAGCTTTTTGGAAGATCAGCTTAGCCGTAATTGAACAAACGCCCTATTTAACTTGATTGGGGGGTGCTCCACTTTAGAGGCATTCCGGATCACTTTGTGAAGCGCATGATGATCCGGGTTTGGATGGAGATTGGTTTTCCCAAGTTGCAACCACCGGCAACCCGAAAGGTGTAAAAAGCGTTGGGCGCCTTTGTGGGGTTGACCAATGTGGAACCCACCAAACAAAGGGGGAAGGTGCCAGCCAACAGTGCCACCGAACAACTGCGTTTCTGCTTGCCGGCTTTTGGCTTCTTGCGGGCCTCTTGCGGGCCTCGTGCGGGCCTCTTGCGGGCCTCTTGCGGGCCTCTTGCGGGCCTCTTGCTTCAATGCGTCTCGTGAGAACTGGGTATTTCAACCACTGCGTCAGCTTCCCTCTGATTGGTGGGTTGGTGGTGTTTTCGGGTGGTTTCCCATTGTTCCTCTGCAAGAAGTTCAAATCCACATCCAAACTCCAAGTCCAACCACCCACGGCTACCTAAGTTTGGGTGTGTCCTTATTGGGAACCGGTACACTTGTTGGGATCGTTTTCCAGACTTGTTGAGTTTGTTGTCAAGGTGAAAAGAACCAGCAGGGATGCGGGAAAAGTGGGGATGAGGGGGGAATCCCAAACAAAGCGGGGTACTAGCAGTCATGGCCCTGGAGAAATCAACACCCACATCTGCGCGAGTTGGTTGTTGCACATTTTACCAACATCCTCATAGTTACCCTCTAAATGGGTGCGTCAAAGGGAAGCCACATGTGTGTTTTTTGTTTTTTTCGTGGTGGGTGACGCGTTTTAACTTGCTTTTCACCCCCACAGCTTTGCCCACATCTGCGCATAGTTTGTCTATCCCAAAATGTAAAGAGTGTTGGGATCTGAGACAAGCTTGGTCTGGCCGGGTTTCAGGGCCCAGGACCAGCTTACCTTTGGCTCGCTTCGAAGTGGGTGCCCCAAAACCAAACTTTTAATGGCACACCAAAACGGCGTCCGAACCCCACAAGTGACTCCAGCCCATCAACTCAAAGGCCAAGCGTTGAAAGGGATCCGGTTTCAGGGCCCTCCCCGCAGCTCCTGGCAGATCCTGACGCAGGCCAGGCCCGCGTTGGCCAGCACGGCGTAGCGCACGCAGGTGCGCCCGACCGAAGTCTCCAGCGCACAGCGCCACTCCTCGAAGTGATCGAATCGGATTCGCAGGTGGACTGAGCCCTATGGGTCTGGCATCGTTTCGAGGATACCTTAATTATGGAGTGGTTTTAGAGGGAATGACAGTACAGTTTGGGCATCGATCGTTTTTCTTCTTCTTTTTCCGTAGGCCCTATGGGCGTGGCGATGTGTGGAATGACACTACATTTTGGCTCTCAATTGGGGCTAATTTTGGGGTTGGCCCAGAAAAAGACACTCTTGAGTTTCTCGGATGGGTTCCACTACCCCCAAACCGAAGCTACCCAGGGTCTAATCGGATAACAGCCACTACAGAGCCGTACAAAGGGTATACATCCGAATTTACTTTCGGGGTGGTTTTGGGGGCAGTGGAACCCATCTTTGAGCATCCATCGATTTGTCGCGTCGGCCCAAACCCTATGGGTGTTACGGAAAGTGTCTTGAGGATACCTTAATTTTGAAACGGAACTTTAAAGGGAACTCCCTTGCGAACAAGTGGAGTGGCCAGCAACAGTCCAAACTTTGATGTCTGCCACTAAAATGGTCGTCCCAAAAAGCTTGAAGTCAGGGAGGGAAAGTGCTTTGAGGATACCCCGTTTTGGAGTGGTTTTAAAGGGCAAGTGTTTCGAGGATACCTTAATTTCGCAGTGCTTTTAAGGCGAAGCCACAAAGGAAATCAACCATTTGTGAGGGTCCCCTATTTTAAGGCACAGGCCAATCCAGTGGATGTCCATGGGAAAAATGGACGCCCATTCTTTTCTTGGAAGTTCACCCGTCCAAAACGAAACGTTGAAAAAGGGAAGCACACTCACCGAAGCTCTGAGGCTGAGGGGTTTCGCGAATGAACCTCTGAGGTCTGAGGGTTTCCTCCATTTGCTTAAGGCCCCAGGAAAAAATGAGAAGATATGTCAAATAGTGATAATTCCCCTTGAAAGCAGCAGGGGAAAACAAAACATTTTCTGAAGCAAATGGAAGGCTTGTGTTTCCCTTGGTGATTCCCGTTTTGGCGGTTCTCAAGATCACCTTCTTGGCCCGTTCGGGAATCGTTTGAGGGGGTCCTGCTATGCCATCGTGCTGCGACCGCGCCCTTCAAGCTAAATCACAAAGCTGTTAAACATGGAGCTGAATCAATAATCATTTTTAGAACCTCCTTTCGGGGGATCCCCGTTTGGGGAACCTTGGGGTTCCACGCTACATTAGCCCCTGACGACAAACCATGCATTCACTGGCATTCACCATCAAAAACCTGGTTCTTCAAAATATACCAACTACAAAACTTGGCCGTCCTCAGATCCCCTACTCCAAGTGACTCACTTGCAACGGGTTAAACACGGAAACCCAACCACCAAACCAACTAGCAACCGAAAAAATGCGAAGGGACCGGCTGGCCTTTAAAAGCCACCAAAAACAAGGAAGCCGGGTATTTGGAGTGGAGTTCCGGCGTACAACACTCCAGCCGAGTCTCCTCTGACTCCTTGGCGTTCCGGCGCAGCAACGCCGCGCCACTCCTCGGCTCCCATCAGCTGCCATGCGACATGAGACTGACCATAAAATACGCACCTGGACCCTCGAACTACCCACAAAAATTGGCCATTGCCTCAACATGCTAGGGTAAAACCGTAGTTTGAGGATCCAGGTAGTCTGCGAAGGTCCCTGCAATTCCCCCTGGAGTTAATCGATTTGCCGGTTTCCGATCGTCGCTTTTGGAGGTCCCTTTGAAGGGACAATTGAGGGACCCCTGATCAGTTCGGTGAAGGAAACAAGGCCATGAACTCTTGGTTTACGACTAAGTAGTCTTCCGAAAAAGGTTAAAGTCCAACGCGGAGAGTGACTTTAAGAAAAAGGGGGCACCCTTTTTGGGTAACTCACTTTGAAAGGAAACCCCGGCCCTTTGCCTCAGCTTCCCTTTCAAAAAGCTGTCGAGGGGTCCGAATTCTCCCCATGTTTTTTTCCGGGTTCAACGCGTGGGCCCAGCAGGTGTGCTAATCTGCCCCAATAGGGTACATAGGGCTCATACCTGCCAAAGAAAAGATCGATTCCTAGGAATTTCCCCGTTTAACGCACCACCCCACAGAAAAAGAAATCACTTCTCAACTGGCCCAGAACAAGGTACTCCCAGCGAAAAGGGGCCACCCTCCCACCGATTCACCTGGAACCTGGCGTTCGCCGGGGTCCTGGTTTGGACCATTTTCTTTTCAAAGGGACCGGGTCCCTGTCCTTTTCCATGTGAGAAGGGCGGCAGTGCCAATGGCCTTTGAAGCTCTTGGCGTCCCTTCTTCCCCCCGAAAAGTTTCTCCATCGAACCAACCAATTCGAGGCGCCACGCGGTGAGCGCCGCGCGCAGCAGCAGCTGCTCTTGCTGCGCCAGCAACCGCCCCACCAAGGCCCGGGTGCCACGTGCCGCCGGAGCCGGCGCCCCTGGCGCCACTGCCGCCGGAGCCGGCGCCCCTGGCGCCCCTGGCGCCACTGGCGCCGCAGCCGGCGCCACTGGCGCCGGAGCCGGAGCCGGCGCCGCTGGGGCTGGGACCTGCGCGCATGGTGCCAGAGCAGCCCAGCTGGCCCTTGGCAGGTCAAGCTCTCTATACGGATCGAAAAAACCAACGTAAGGGTGTCTAGTAACAGAGTTCCCCGCGCTCTGGGTTTGTGCGAGCTTCACAGAGAACCCGTTGTTACCTTTGCAGGGAAGCCAAAGGGAAACCCAGAGTTCCACTTTTTGACCCCAAGACAGGGGGTCTCCTTCTGAATGAACAAGCCCTGGGTTTAAGTCTACTCCGTAGACAAAAAGTAATTAGAACCCTGCCAGAACGTTCAAGTGCCGCCCGACCCATCCAGCCCATCCAGCCCATCCAGCCTCTGCTTCAGCCTTCGCCTGGGGTTTCAGCAAGGCCCCGAGTATCGAATCCGCCCCCCCCTGGAAGAGCGCAAAGGAGGTTGGTGGTTCAGTGACCCTGGAAAAACAGGGAACCCTTTTTGGGGAAGACCGTTTTTAGTGGGGCAGCCACCCAAAGAACAAAGGGAAAAAGGGGAAAAACTGAGAGGAGGTTGGTTGTAAACCGTTGTAACGTTTCAACATGTCCCAAAATCTTGGTTTGGCATAACAGCCATACACACCCAATCGAATCTAGCTTAGCCAGTGGATTCAACCTCCACGTCTTCAGCCAGCTTTTTTTTGCATCTCCCCAGGCGCCTCCTCCTGCTCCTCCGCCTTCCCTCGAATCGACGTCCAGGTGGACCAGGCCAGAGCCACCAACTCAAAGTCTTCACCTTGAAGTCTCCTGGCCAATTTCAAGCGCCAGGAGCGAGTCGAGCTTCGTGGGTCTCTGTTACCACCGGGTTGGCGGGGGTTCACTGGGGGATTGTCTGACCACTTGGAGAGATCTGGGTGTGACATTTACTTGGGGTTAACTGGCTCTCTGGGTAGCAGGGGGTTCACTGGTTTGATGGGGGCCCCACTAAATCAGCTGCCCTACAAGCTCCGGTCGAGATGCGACCCTCGCCTGCGGGCCTTTTGGCGAGGCTGTGCTCGGCCGTCACTTGGTGTCCTCGCATTCGGTTGATCCGCCACTCGGCCGACAGGACCGGGAAATGAACGCTGACCCTAGGGGCTTCAAGACCTCATGATTTGAGGCCTTTAATGGGGTTCAAGGCCCTCATGATTTGAGGGTCCAAGCACCTTTTGCCAATACACATGGTGGCCAAGGGGAAACTGAAAGGTGAAAAGGTCGATTCGCTTCGGGCAACTGAGGCTACGACTTTCGGTCAAAACACTTTGGACGTGCTACCGCTCCAGCTTGCGAGAATTCCAGCAGTTCGTCCCGCTTGGTCTCTTCTAGTAGTCCGACAGTACCACAAAAGCTGCCAACCCAAGCGGCCAAGGAACCAAACCTTTGCTAGGGCATGAGGGGGTTCCTTGGTTGCCTCTCTATAGCTTCGTGGATTATTAGCGGGTGTTCCCTCAAAAGTGAAGGATTATCTCCAAGGTGACACACACACACACACCACACACCACACACCACACACACCACACACACCACACACACACAGACACACCATCAAATTCAGGCATTTGTTCATTCACCGTGCTGGTCAAATGGAAAGAAACAAGCATCATGCCCAAGGTCTTCCAAAACAGCAAAAAACGTCCGACTGAGGGTGAGAAAGATACCTTCAAAATAGTCAAAACCGCCAATACCGGCAAGCATCCAAGTTTGGCCAACCAAATTTATCTACAACCAAATGGTCTAACCAATTTTGCAACTCCAATTTGGGGGAAGTTGGGGAGCAACAAGTCCCCCTCCCCGGACCCCGTTCGAAGGCATCTTCCAGCCTTGGAGATGCTGGCGATGGGTCACTGGGGCTCTGGAAGCTGGGGCTCAGCAAACCTGAGATGGTGCCAAGCCCCCACTCGTAGCCCGGGCAGCCCGTTGCCTATCCCACAAAAAGACGTCGCTTTGAACGGCAACCAAATTGAGGTACACCCAAAATGTCCCGATTTGCCAAGTCTTCTTGGTAGTTCGTCATAGCCAATTGTTTTGCAGACCCCTGAAAAAGCCCACCAAACTTCCAAATGGCTGTCTGTTTGCAGTTTGGCTGGGTTTCTTCCGGGCTTAAGGCCAAAGCCAGACCCCACAACTCCAAGTGCCAAGCTCCCCGAATGTTTCAGCCGCGGCGCGGCGCTCCGCCCACAGCGGCGTTTGCGTGCGCGTGCCTTGGGTCAGGCAACAGATCAGGGGTCGTCCATGCGGGGTTTCATCAACCCTCCCTAAAAGCTGTCCCAAATCACTCCGTATCGCCAAAAACACTCGGACTCCCACATTGGTGTAGCTTGGCTCATCGCTTTTTGGAAGGAAACCAAACAACCCATTTTAGGGGTATATACCCAGGTTTGTCTCAAAACAGGGGGAACCCCACATTTGGTGATTTCCCTTGCAGGTGGCCTTAACCAAACCGTTTTGGGGTGCCCTCAAAACAGGACACACCAATTTTCACCGCCACCCCCCCCAGTTGTTCAGTGACCCTGGAAAAAAAGGGAACCCTTTTTGGGGAACACCAAATTTTTGGTGGGGCCACCCCAAAGAAAAAGAGGAAAAAGACTTGGTGCCCCTTCCCCCCGGATTGAAAAAAAAGGAAAAAGGAAAAAGACTTGATGCCACGGAATCAACTGAGCAAAAAAAAAACGCGCCTAGTCGGTGCTCCGCCTGCCGTAGCACAGCGTCCACGTCCGTGGCCAGGCGCAGGCACTCTTTGGCCTGCGCATCCGGGACGTCCAGGTGCTCGAAGTGGGCCTGACTCAAGGAATCCGAACCAAACCGGGACTCGTACACTGCAAAAACTAGGGGTTCAGATTATTTTTGCGTCGGCTACAAGTTAAAACCTATAGATACACAAAACATCAGCTCTGAGTCTGTTCCAAAGTCTGCCCTGAAATACACAAACTCATCTTGGAGGAAACTGTAGGTTTGATCTTTGGGTTACACGGAGTCTCATGTCGGCTTTGCTTCCCGGTAGAACCGCTGCCAGGTTCTAAGAAATGCCCCGTTGGACTTATTGCTTGGCGGTCGCATCTCTTTCCGGTGGATGCCCCTGGCAACGGGGTTGAGCGAAGGGTGCCTTGCACAGGATGACCATTGAGGAAAACGACGGACAACATGATATCTCCCACCTTACAAAGTTACCCATGCCAGGAATATTGATCCACCCCTAAACTATTGAAGTACAAATTCGGGCATCCACCGCTCCCTCCCCCCCACCGTCCCTCCCGCCCAAAGCCCCCGCCTGGGGCGTAGTCAGCAAGGACCACTCCCGCTGCCTCGGCGAGCCCTGCGCCGCTTGCACGGCCGCTGAGGCCGCGGAGGGCGCGGAGGCCGCGGAGGCCGTGGAGGCCGCGGAGGGCGCGGAGGGCGCCGTGAACGTCGTGGGCTCTGCGGGGTAGGCCATCCTCGAAGGGTGGGAACTGGAGACCCAAAATATAGTAAGCTGGGCTTCAGAAGGTGTGTCTGAGGTAACCAAATCTGAGGTACACCGGATGCTCCAAGTCTGTTTGGTAGATCTTGGTTAACATTGGAAGGGGAGCAAATATATATATATATATATATATACATATATCTATGTATATGTAGCAGTTAAGTGGTTGGATTTCAACCACTAAACCACCATAAGCCAAAATGTAAAATGGTTCCCAACAACAACCATGAGATGCCCAGAGGATGTCCATGCAAGACCCGTTTTGGGTATGAGTCTAAAGGAATCGGAGCCCTTCCCCACAACAAAAGTCGAAAAAGGGCACCACTTGGCAACAGAGTAGAATAAGATGGGCTTAAGAGTGTGTCATTTGTTTGAAGGATCCCGCTTTCTTGCTTCTGGTTTGAACGGGAAACCCAAAAGGAATACAACATCATTTTGGCTGTCCCTGACAACAGGGGGTCCAAACCCTGAAAAAAGGACGAGGCACCCACTTGAAACCCACCTTTTGGTCGGTGGGTGCGCCTTCACTGAAACCCGACCCCCAGTGAAGCTCCCTGGAGGTAAACAGAAACAGGGAAAACAAAAGGGGAACCCACTCGAAAAGGGACAACAGGGCTTGGGGGCGGAAGCCAAACAACACCCAGAGTTTTATTCGAAAAGTCCATTCAAGGATGATGCTCCTGAAGCTCCCACAAAAAAAAAGTCAGGAAATCATTGTTTCTGACTCAGTCTGACCTCGAAAAATGCGGAAGAACCCAGGAGAAGACTCCAGGAATTCCTATGAACTGAAAGGCATACTTTTGGAGAACATTCGAAAAGTAAAACCCAACGGTAGGTTTCATATTGTTTCGTCTTATTTGAATCACACCTTTTGGTTTGGACCCCCCTCCCGCCAACACTTCTGCATCAGAGCCCAGGAAAAACAAAAAAAAAGTTGGATTGGCCCGCCTCGTCTTTTCTCCAGGGGTTGGACCCCAAAAAAAAAACACTTTCGGCGCAGAACCCCGAAGGAGAACCAACAGCTCTCTGTGGGTCAAAAATAGGGTAACCCCCAAATGGGTTGCCCTAAGTGGAAACTAGAAACCCAAAAACTTCTGGTAACATGGAATGCGGGGACCAAAACGTGCGGTTTAATTTCGACCCAAACCCAGCCAACTCCCGCTCCAAGCTTCGCCGTAGGCTCCAGAACCACGCTGGGCCAGCTAGGCACCCTCGACCTGGAGCAAAAAACCGGCGCCGGCTTGGTCCCGCTCGCCCAAATCTTCCAGTGGCTCAAAAATGGACATCCGTTCCAAAACGGAGCCCAAGCAAACGGAACAGTAGACCACCTGCGGTTTGCCCCAGCTGTGTAATGTTGAGCCATGTTTGCGTAGACCCCGAGTAAAAAAAAAAAGGGACATGTCCAGCGATAGATTCACCATATACTAAGTTGCTAGAAACGGCTTGGCTGACCACTTTTTGTGGAAAGTAAACCTGTTCTTCCCCCTGTTGGTCCGTTTTAGACATCGTTCAGCACTCTGTTCATTATTCTAGGTGGACCCACAAAAGCCACATCCAAGCCGCATTCCAGAGATAAACCTTGGCTACCTCGGCTGTCCGTTTTCAGATCTGTGGCCAAAGTGACGAACTTATGGGTGAAATACGAAAACCCCACCACCCAAACCCAACCAAAAAACAACGAAGACCCTGATGGGCGATTTTTCCGGGCGATTTTTTCAGGGCCACGGCCTACAGTGACCGACTGGTGACTTTTCGGCCATTTGGAGCCGTAAACCTCTGATTACCACGCCTCAAAAAGGTTCGTATGGACCTTGCGAACTACCATGGCCAACAATGGAATTGCTCCCATTCTTTCTTTTGTTCAACTGACCTGTTTCTTGCGCCCATAAACCGACTTATGATGTGGATGTATTCATTTTAATGCGGGATCCGTTGGTGAACATCACTTAGGTAGGGCGTCACGTCCACCAAACACTTTGGAAGTGGTTCCCTATCAAAATGTGCGGCCAAATTGTTCGAATGGAGGCAGCAGAAAAGAGGCTTGGGCTCGAAAAAGCGACCCGAACCTGTAGTTTGAGGGTCCAGGAAGCTATTTGGCCATGGGTTAAAACCCGAAACCCCCAGTGAACATCCCAATCCCCACTAAAATAGGTTCTAAAATGGCTGGTGAATTCACATATCCCAAATCCCCACTAAAAAAAAGGTTCCAAAATGGGTGGTGCACCGAAAACTCCAAAATGGGATCCCATTGGTTTTGAACCATGGCCATTTTTGATCCACACACACACAGCCCAAGGCCCGGTGGCTCGTGCCGCGCCTCAGCTGCGCCGCCCGGATCTCTGCACCCAGCTGGACCGGCCTTTCAACTGGCGGAGTGGGGAGCCATGGCCAAGCCTTCCCAGTGCATCCCCATGACCCATGGCTCAGTTCTTCAGTGACCCTAGAAAAAAAGGGAACCCGTTTTGGGGAAGACCATTTTAGTGGGGCCACTCCAAGAAAGGGAAAAAAGAATTGGTGCCACTGAACAACTGAGATGGGGAAGGTGACCAGCGATTTTCCTTTTGGGTTTTAAAGGGTGGTTCTTTTGGTTACATAGTGCACAGGCAATTGGATCCTCAGGGCTGGGTATGGGCTTGCAAAAAACTCTTCACGCTTTTTGCAGCCAGGTTTTGACCTTTGGGGTGTCTAATGGAGGGGTCTGGGTCTTGCTTTGCAACTCAAACGGTATGGGCGGTAGCAAAAACCTGGTGCTGTGTTTTTGCAGCCCCTTCTCAACCTAAAAATGAACACAACCAAAAAAAGCAGATCCAAAAAAGAGAGAACACAGATGCTGACAACAGCGAAGCCTAGTGGGTTTTGCCAAGAACCACTGACAGGTGATGGGCACCCAGGCCTAAGTCGAACCCATACTTTACCAGATCTGATGGAGGCATTCTTCGACTGAAGCTCGGCAGGAGGGCTTCGTTCCGCTAGAGCCCGTTGGGAAGATGGCTTCAGCACCCCGGAGTTTCGTGGTCTTGGGAACCTTGAAAGGAAACCGTTTTTGACCTGGGGGTCTTTGATGGGGTGGGTGGTGTTGGGGTAATGGCCCCGGATAAGCAGAACTGCTGGTAAGAATCCGGACTACTGTTGCGGTGAACACTCTGTAGTTGTGAGATTCTGTGATAATTATGTGTTGTTTGCTTCATTGACAAGCTTGAATAGCAGCTATACTGTTGTGTGACGAATTGGGTACCTTCCCCATTCTCAGGGATCCTTTTCACTCCAATGGTATCACTGGGATCACCAAAAAACTCAGTCGCGAAACTCGGGAAGGTAAACATGCTTGAAACCCCAAAACGCACCAGTTTTAGCATTGGGATCTCCTTTTGGGCATCTGAGCCCTAGGGGAAAGGCACTAGATGGCAATGGTTCCAAAAACCTCCGCTGTGCTTCCCTTTTTCCCATGACCTGGTTCAAGCAGTGGTTTCCTGTGGGCCCCTTCCCTTTTCGTGCTGGTGGGAACCGTCTGATAATTGGTCCTCCAGTAGAGAGGCTAGAATAAGGGAACCAACTTTTTTTGTGTAGGGAAACCCTCCCCCCAAACAAGGGTAAAAGGGCACCACTGGGGGACCTAGAATGATTGCTGCATCCCAAACTTGGGGAGGCGTCACTCAAGCATTGTCCTGCTTGCTGGCTGACTGCTTTTGGCGAATCTGACCGAACCAAAACAAGAAGTAACCCCCACGGCAGTGTCACATTACAACTGTAACAAGCCTGTTCAGGTCATTGCATCAACACGAATTGTCTCACGCGGTATCAACTTTGACTATAGGGACCCCTTTCATGATGCTGTTGGTCCACCTCCCACTTTTCAAGCGGCTCCTAACTCCATTCACCTTTCGTTTTGGGCCAAACCAATCCGAACCAATCAAGTCTCTGGTTACCCAAAAGGATGGGATATGGCAATCCATACCAAACGATTCCCCTTGCGGCTGTTTGAGGGTCATGGGCCATACCCCCTACTCCAAATACCCACGCTTGTAGCGCATTCGGTAAATACCTCCTGCCCAGGAATGGCATCATATCCTATCAAACCATGAAAGGAGTGTTGAGTCTATTAATGAGCGGGTCTCCCTGATCACTTTTGGAGGGGACCACCCCCCCATTCATTGATTCATAGTGGGTCAACATTAAACTACTCTATGATTCAACCACCTGGGAAAAGTTATCCCTGGTCATTTGGGGGGGCGATGGGAATACACTGATCAACCTAAATGTGGGGCTCTTTTCATGAACCCCAAGCCGAGCCGCGAGATGTTGGGCTCTCTGCTCGGAAGCTTTGGCGCCGTCTGCGGCGCCAAAGGCTGCCGAGGCTGCCTACGGTGCGTTGGATCGAACGCTCGCCTGAAGAAGAACAAAAACGCGAGAACGCGCGTTCCCGGAGACCAAGCATCCATAAAGTGTTTGGGGTTTTGAGATTTGAGGGTTTTAGAGATAATCAGATACAGCTGACTCGGAGCCAGCACTTCCAAAAATAGAAGACGTCTTCGCCTTTTCCACGTTGACGACCCAAGAAATCCTCGGACAAAAAAAGCCATACTTTCGATGACTTTCGGCGTCATTTGTCTATATCCGATACAAGGATGCCGCCGAGACAAGAAATATAGGGGCCCGAAAAAAAGAAAAAAACGGCTTCCTTTTTGGTCCCCTGTACAGCCAACCAAAACGGACTCTACACCTCCAATCGCCCGCCAATAAATTGCTGCATGAAACGAAAAGCAAACAGAAACCACAAACCCAGATGGCTGCATGAAAAACGTTGGAACCAAGGCAATCTGACCCTCTGGCTGGTTCGGCCCCTCTTGGTGTTCCTATTTCTACCGTCGATTGTCCACCCTTGTTGAGGGATTGCCAAAACAAGGGACAACCCATTCACAGATATATATATATATATATGTATGTGTATATATATAGACACGTGCATGTACATCTACCCCTGTGCAATACTGCACATGCAATTGTATAAATGCCCACATGCGACTCGTGTGATGTATGTATAGATACATATATATATATATATATATTCATATTTGCATATGTTCATATGATTATATGCATCTAATGTATTATACACATGCAGCGCCTGCGGCTCGCCGGTGGCAGCACCACCGGCTGCACCACCACCGGCGCCACCGAAGTCGCGCACGGCGCGCGCGGGGAAGTGGTCGGGGAAG